GGGGACGGAGGCCGAAGCGGAGCGGTCTAGGGAGCCGTGGCCGCGGGTCACCCGGCGGGGAGCAGTTGCGGAGTCTCAGCTAGACAGCAGCGAGTAGGGCTCGGCCGCCGGCGAGATGCCTTTGTTCACCGCCAACCCCTTCGAGCAAGACGTGGGTGAGTGTTGTGCCCGGTCCTGGACTGCTCTGTGCCCGGCCCTGGACTGCTGTTTGTCCAGCTAGAAAGTGGGCGGTAGCGACTCCGGACTAGGAAGCCAAGCGTAGGGACGGGAGGGGCGGTGCCGCCCGCTACTTCGACGTTGGGATTTTTCTGGGGGCAACCTCGGCGCGTCGCTGGCGATTTGGGGAGTGCTTCCTGCCGCGTGAATTTGGGGACGCTCAAAGGGCCGTTCTCCCTGCCAAGCGTAGGATTTGGGAAGAGCCTAGGGCTCGCTGGAGACTGGACTGATTAAGTAATTGTGTAGTTGGTGATTAAAAACTTCCTGTTCGTTCGACAGCTAGTTATCTCTGTGTCTGCCCCATCATTTTTTGAGGATGATGCAGCAGCGGAGACCCTGCTGTCTAGAGAAGCCCAACACCAGACACTTAACACCTAGACAGCCGCATTGGATAGGAAGAACTTACTTCCCATTATTTATATTACTCTTGCTTTCGATCCCTGATAGGGTAGTTTTAAGATTTATTGCAGTTGTAAAGGTGTTGCTCTTCATCCCCGAATTGCAAAGATTGCACGGGTGCTAGGAGATGTTCTGTTTTAGAGTATGAAAAGGAAATCTCGAGTTTCAAAACACTCCAGAACAACAAGTATTTTACTTGTTGAGGTCATAAAGCGCTGGTCTGAGTGACTATAGAATGAGAAAAACATGGACAAGATATATACGAAATTATTTTGGAAATTTGAGTAGCACTAAAACAAACAGACATATATGTATGTATTTTTGAGAGTCTTGAGTCTCACTATGTTGCCCAGGTGCGACTAGAATTCCTCTCGCCTCAGCCTCCACGTCCGTTTTCCCTTCCCGAGTAGCTGGGACTACAGGTTTGTTTTTTGTTTCTTTTTGTAGCCTTAGTTAACAGAACTCTAGGTAAATTTTTAGAACTTGAAAATGGGGTTGGGGCAGGGGGACTCACAAGAATACAGCACATCTTGGGCAGTAATTCACCTGTTTCGTAGTTAACATTTGGTTATTAGGAAACTGCAGAAACTGCCCTATTCTGGTACGTTGTGTAATCCCTAAGTCATTAAAAAAATATGTTTGAGTCAAATAATATATGTAAATAGTTCAAATTTGTATGTTCCTTATTTCATTCAACTTTTTTCTTGGTGGATGAATACAGGTGACTGGCATAAATCTGGGAGACATCACTCTGAGGCTCACTGTTTCCTTTTGGAACACTTCATTGCAGTATTTATTCTTTTGTTTGAATCATACTACCTTTGTGCAACCTGTACTTTAAAAAAATTGCTTTTAAAAGAACACTTTGATTCTGTTCTAATGAAATAAAACAGAAGGTACAAAATAGAATTAGACAAATGATTTTAAAACTTAAAAAGCGTGAACTCTTTTCTTTAAGGTAAATCTTTCTTGGAAGTTGATTGTTTTCTGATGGAAAAATTCTCTGGTGGAAGTAGGCAGAGTTACTCCTACTGTGCTGTTCTAAACCTTTCCCTGCCTGGCTCCCGAGGCTCCAGCATGGTTTAGTGGATCACAGTTTAGTCCCACAGTTGTAAAGGAGGCACTGCTGTTGAAATTTAAAAAACAAAAACAAAAAAACTGTGTCTAGATTATTTTATGGCCAATGCCATAAGCCAGAGCTTCAAGTAGTTACATATTAGCTTAAGGATGGCTGAATTCAGTACCCCAAAGGCATTTTAAGGGTGAAAGAATGAATTTGAGGCCCTCGTGCAACTTCTAGACAAGAGAATGGAGTTAGAAAAAGTAGAATGAAATACTAAGGAGCTCAAGTTGGACTTGCACATATATCATAGAAGGAAAATTACATGTTGCGTTTTTCATATCTTGAAACTTTTCATTTTAAATCGTTAATACAAAGCAAGGGCCAAACGCGGTGGCTCACGCCTGTAATCCCAGCACTTTGGGAGGCTGAGGTGGGTGGATCACCTGAGGTCGGGAGTTCGAGACCAGCCTGACCAACATGGTGAAACCCTGTTTCTACCAAAATGCAAAAAATTAGCCAGGCATGGTGGCGCGTGCCTGTAGTCCCTGCTACTCGGGAGGCTGAGGCAGGAGAATCGCTTGAACCCAGGAGGTGGAGGTTGCAGTGAGCCGACATCTCACCACTGCACTCCAGCCTGGCAACAGAGCAAGACTCCGTCTCAGAAAAAAAATATATATATATGTATGTACACACACACATATATACATACACACACACACACAGAAGTCATTAATTTGGCTTGAGATATCTATAGGAATGTTACTTTACATTGTCATTGTCTTTTTCACTTGTTCTCCTTGATTCAGTGAGATTTTTATTACCTTTTTTTTTCATTCCTTTGTTCACTCTTCATTCACCAGACATATAATGAATAATTACTGTGTCAAACATTGTGTTAACCTACGAACACAAAATGAATAAATAGACTGTGAGTTCCTGCCTTCAAGGAACTCTCAGTCTAATGAAGGAAACATACAGACATAAGAATTGTAATTTAGTACAAGTATATTGCCAGAAATATACAAGAAACTTTACATTCTCTCTTTATTTGAAATATAGTACCTGAAGAAAAGACAAGGACCTTCAGATAGGAGCTTTCTCTGAGAAGGTGTTGACACTATCCTCTCCTTCCCACCTTTTCTTTTTTCTTTTCTTTTTTTTTTGAGACGAATCTGTCTCCCAGGCTGGAGTGCAGTGGCCTGATCTGCACTGCAACCCCACCTCCCAGGTTCAAGCAATTCTCTTGCCTCAGCCTCCCAAGTAGCTGGGACTATAGGTGCACACCACCACACCTGGCTAATTTTTGTATTTTTAATAGAGATGGGGGTTTCACCATGTTGGCCAGGCTGGTCTTGAGCTCCTGCCCTCAAGTGATCTGCCCGCCTCAGCCTCCCAAAGTGTTGGGATAACAGGCGTGAGCCACTGTGCCCAGCCTCCTTCACCCCTTCTCTGATAGCACTTTCACAACAGGAAGTAACCACCTTTTGCTAGTGTATGATATGCTCATTTTATGATTAAAGGCCTTTAAAGATTAATCTCTTTTGGTAGGTGAAGAGTCTTGCTTAAGGGTGAGCAGTCTTTCTGACATTCATACGAGGAAGGAATCCTTTTCTTAGAGGCTGAGAAAAGGATGGATCAAGGTGTCTTAGGAAGGCACTCATGAATTGATGATGATATGTGACTTGTCAAATGGAAGCAGGTCAAAGGCTAGAAAGTAGGGAACTCTTGGCAAATTCCTATCTTTTCTTGGCATCAGAACCTACAAGCCCTGAAGAATATACTAGATTTGGTAGTATTAGAGCTCTTTAAACATTTTATTGGAATTCCTCAAATCTAGATTCATTTTTTTGTTTTGTTTAGTAAGATTTCTTTGATGTGTTCTGAGGAGAAAAAAGAAAATATCCTTATATCCCGCCTCTTCTCCCCAATGGGGGCTCAAGTGTTAGAGGGGTATGGGGATCTTGAGGTGGAGCCTGGTTGGAGTAGCCATTCTCGTAGAATTCTGAGGGGAAAGTGAAACATGGGGTACGGGGCCATAGTGGTTAGTGTTAACAGAGAAGATGTCATTTCTTTATTCATTGATTTCCAAGTCATGACTTTTCTGTTCTAAGCCTTAACTCCGGTTCTTGTTTGCATATCTTTTTTCCCCTTACTCAGCCAGGCAATCTTTCTTGCCAGTTTTCTGCCTCTGTGCTATTTACCATTCATTGCTAAATGTTTGCTCCTTTCAACCTTGGTATTTCCTTTAAAGATATACTTGTGTCCCACAAAGCTGAGCTCAAATTCTGCCTCTACAAAACTGCGGACTCAGCGGTTTGATTTGTGAACTCTTAAGAGAATACGTTTCCAAACGACTTTCTAATGTGTGTATTGCTGTTTTTGACTTTTGCTGTGTTAGAAGACATTGACCAGGAAGTAGCTTGAGACTTTCTCCAGTGAAATGCAGTCATGCAGTCTTTTTCTCCAGTGAAATTTTATAAAAAATCCCAATATAGAAATAGATAACTGATAGCATAAGAATAATACAAATTCATTTTATACATTCAAATTTATAACATTTGCTTAACTAGGCCACTCTTTGTACAATAAGTTAAAATCTTCGTAAAAAAGTAAAATTAAAAAAAAAGTTTTTTGGTTTTGAATAAGAATAGTAGACTTAACAGCCAAGTTTTTTCTAATATATTTTGTAGCTTTTTAAACTATGAAATATTTTCAGCATAAAATACAAAATATGAACTCCCATTCCTGCCAGGCAATTATGTCAAGTACTAATATTTTGATATACTTGATTCTTTTTTTAAAGAAAGGAACATTCAAGATGCAGTGAAATACTTTAGTATTTTTAGCAGCTACCTGATCCCATTCTTCCTCCTTTCTCAGAGTTAAACACTCTATAAATAGATGGAAATTCTCTTTAATAGTATATATACTACACTTACAAATATACTATATATTGTTTAGATGTTTTTAAACTTTTAAAAAATAGTGTCTTTTTGTCATTCTGCAACTTTCGTCATTCAGCATTTCATTTTTTTTGAGACAGAGTCTTGCTCTGTCGCCCAGGCTGGCGTGCAGTGGTGAGATCTCAGCTCACTGCAACCCCTACTTCCCAGATTCAAGCAATTCTTGTGCCTCAGCCTCCTGAGTAGCTGGGGTTACAGGCGTGCACCACCATGCTTTGCTAGTTTTGCATGTTTTAGCAGAGTTGGGGTTTTGCCATGTTGGCCAGCCCGGTCTTGAACTCCTGACCTCAGGTGATCTGCCTGCCTTGGCCTCCCAAAGTGCTGGGATTACAGGCATGAGTCACCATGCCTGGCCCATACAGCATTTCTTTGCGAGAGTTATTCATGTTGATGTTCGTAGCTCTAGGTTATTAATTTTAATGGCTGTGTGATACTATACCACTATATGAATATGCATTATCTGTTGTCCTATTGACTAACATGACTTTATTTCCAATTTCTTGCACCTACAGAC